CAAATTGAGTCGCTCGAGTTTGGCTCTTAATATTAGAGTATAGAAATCGAATATAATCAGGGTTTGAATCCTGTTTAATATTCAAGCTCCACCCGAGCAACATACCACTTACCTTGGTGGGCTCAAGCTAAATTCATCTCGGACATAATGCATAACTCTTTCTTGTGCTAAAAAAAAATAATGAAGTCGCGCATTAAGTAACTTTGTGGATAAGATACTTTATTTCTAATCAGGAGATTCTGAATTGGAGTCTCATTCCTTGTTGGTTTTTTCGTTGGTTAACTTGAGCTTGAGTCACAAAGTACAAAAGCGAACTGATCCAAACCCAAGCATATGAACTAGAAATCAAAAAGTTCGGCTCGATAAACAACCCCATTCATACCCAAAATAGACCACTCAGAGGAGAGCAATAGAGAGAAGAGTGGTTTGGTTATCTATATAATAAAATAACTTATAATTCAAATCTTAAAAAATAAACAAAATAATTTTTGCTATTCGCGGTTGAGATCGCATTAAATTTTACTTTAAATTTAATCTAACGGCTAATATTAACACCTTAAATTTAATAAGAAAAATAAGCTCCTAAGAGTGTGTTTGGAGTGATTTTTTAAAAGTACTTTTAAGAATTATTTATCATAAATATTTTAAAAAAAAATAATGTTTGAAACCGTCGTCACCACTGCAGTCGCCACTCCCACCGCGGTTGCCGCCGCCGTCACTGTCGCCGTCACTACCATCGTTGTCGCCCTCAACACTATCACAACGGCCGCCGCCACCATTGCCATTACCACCACCTCCATGCCCACCATCACCACCGTCGTCGCCGTCGTCGTCGCCCTCACTGCCACTACGGTCATTGCCACCCACCACAACCATTATTTTCTCCTACCACCTCCATTGCCGCCCCCACCACTTCTCACCCTCACTACAAATCGATGCTTAAATTCTTTTATCTCTTTTTTATGTTTGTGATTTGATTTTAAATATGAATACAAATATGTTTATTATTTATCATTTTTCATTACTATGCGCCTTCAGGCACAAATAATAACCAGTAATTTTATAAGTTGCCAAAAATGTGTAAGTGCACACACTGCTGGTTACCACACCCACCTGCCTTTATTTGCGTGCGTGTATTTTGAGTGCACAAATAATTACATGCTTGAATAAATACTCCTCCACAGTCCGATGTAATCAAGTCATTGAGAAAGAATGGTAGCCCCATGAAGCATTAAAGGCACGTGGAAACCTGTCATGGGCAGAACAATATCCCTATACTTGGGATGGTCTCCGAAAAGTCATTGAATTTCTGGCATGATTGGTTCAGGTATTTAGTTGCATCCATATTTTTAAGTTTTTACGATTGTAATATAATATTGAGTAAAATATGTATATATCTTTTTACGTGTGTTGGATGGGGTTAGAGTGTACATTCCCTTTCATTCTAGCCCCATGGGTTCGATACGCAGAATTTAATGATTTTTCTTATCTTACACCATGTTTGGATTCATTTTTAGCAATGCATGCGATACAAGTCCAACTTACATCACTCTCATAACCTCGAAACTATGCTAATTTCAAGCCCACTTACCGGAGGCAATTACGTCACAAAGTGCGTGACATGACAATGATACTCTGCTAAAAACAAATTAGGATATGTGGATGGCAATCCCAAAATCGAGAAAATATTCTATACTTACAAAGTACTAGCGTGGCACGGTTATTTGGTGCTCATTACCAATTAGAAATAGACATTTCAATACAGTGACAAACAATGTCAGAACATGTCAAGTCAACCAAAATAACTGACATTCATCTCTTTAAATCAAAATTTAAATCTCTCGTCTCTCATTTTGAATTTGAGTTTCTACTTTCTACTATAAAAGTGTTAAATAGCATAATCAATATTTCTTGTTTCTCGTTTTTTCTCTATCTGAATCAGTTTTACAAAACTTCTCTTCAATGATTCTTTTCCCTCTTTCTTATTGCTGGTGCTTCCTGGTTCATTCCTTTATCTATTATATTTAGGTGAGTTTCAATGCATATTTTGATGAGTTCGACATAGTCCTTCGTGGCTGGAGTTTTGAGTTGCAATGCCATTAGTGCTTCAATGGAGGAAGAGGATCTAGTTATCAGCAGTGATGTTTTCTTGAGAGTTGTTTGGAAGCCATGACTTGAGGTTGTGTGGCATTATTGTTGGTTTGGGCTTTAACGTGTAATGGCAGGCGTCTTTGCTCAATGTGTGTTTTTTTTTCCCAGCATTGAGGTCTTTATTCAATGTTAATTGTGGACTTTGTTTTTATTCTTATATTAAGAAAAAATAGTTTGTTTATATATAATTGTTTTCTCATTTGCATATAAATCAATAACAAAAAGGTCAAAAAAAAAAAAACNTTATTCTTATATTAAGAAAAAATAGTTTGTTTATATATATATATATATAGTGGAATTAATTATTTGAACATTTAAATTTTATGTTTCATCTTGTTTTTAGACACGTTATGACTAATGTCATTATATCTTAGATGTTTGTTTCATGTGCAAGCAAATCAACTTCGGCCAAATTTATTTAAAATAATATTGTCGACATTTAATCTATCCAAAGTAAGTCATTGATTTTCAATTTTTAAATCAAATTACACATTCCCAATTGTACAATATCTTTTCTTTTATTTGATGCCATTGCCGAAAATTTAATGAACATAGAAGCAAGGTCATAACAAAATTGATAACATCTAAATTTACGAATAAAAAAATAATCATTAATGTCTTTCCAAAATAAAAATAGATTGTACAAATATTTATTTTTTCAATTTGGGTGGCCAGTCCCAAAGGTCTAATAATAACCCGAAATAAATCAATAACAAAAAGGTCAAAAAAAAAAAAAACTAAAAACTATTGTCTTCTCTCATTTGCAATTGTTTTTCACGGGTACACACTGCTAGAAGCCACAAAGTCCACATTTACGGTCAAGCAAGAGTGAATCGAAAAGGCAATCAAATTGTATGAAATTATGACTTGAAGATATATAAAAATAACTTCAAGATCTGTTAAATGACTTAAAAATTGGGCTCATATCACCCTTGAGCTTCAAACAGTATCATTACAAGAAAAAATCACTCATTTTCTCTTTTCTATGCTCCGTTAGCTCCAAATGCACCATGACGACTCTCACCACACACGTCCCATGGACACTGAAAAAATGCAAATCAGAAAGAGAAAATATGGCAGGCTACCTCCATTTCCTGCCCCTCAATTTGCCAGTTCAAGCACTTCACTTTCCCTCTCTCTAATGTCCATGCATGCACACAACACCCACAAAGGCAGCACACAAATAGAAACACACAAAGACCACACATGCAAACAACGACCACCAAAGCAGCACCTCAAGTTAAAAAAAGACAATGGAGAATGATACTCGTATATTCAACCTTCCTTGTTGAAAAATATGGCATACCAGAGAAAAATGGCAGAACTGGACCAAGGGAGGAAGAGAGATAATGGGTTTTGAGAGAGAGAGAGATTTGAAAAATAAGGAGAAAATTTTTTAGAGAAACAGGCAGTAATTAATAAGGTGAAGGACTGAGGTGACTGGCATGCAGTTAACAAAAAAACAAATAAAGGAGAAAGAAGACGAAAAATGTTATTTTGTCAACCACATCAGTTAATTTAACTGATTTGACATTTTCTGACATTGTCTGCCATTTAATTGAAATGGCCATTTTCGATTGGTGATGAGAGCACCAAATAAGCGTGACACGCTAGTATTTTGTAAGCATAAAATATTTTCACCCCAAAATCTATTGATAATGATGCGCTTTTCCTACATGGAAGTGAGTCAACAACATGGTGCTCTCTTAGTAGCTTAATTTCCTTCACAAAGACCTTGCTCCTATTATTATTTATGGGGAATTTTCTATTGTTGTATGGAACGATCTTTGTCATCATTTTTCTCCTAGCAATGCACCTCGTATCTTTCACTTGTGTCCTTCTATTGCTACTCGACAACAAGGAAATGATTTTGTGGCTGTCTATCTCTACAAACTTGAGAGATTTTAGAATGAACTCTTATCTCTCATCGCCTTCTTGCTCATGTGATGCAATGAAATATAAAAACAACTATCTTTATCAACAACAATTGATACAATTTCTCATGGCTCCCCCACAACACTAATGCATCTCTCCATAGTCGAATCCTTCTAATGGATCCTCTTCCATAAATTGGTTAAGGCATACTCTCTTGTGTTGCAAGATGAAACACGTCGTGGCTTAATAGCTATGAACATTCTTTCCAATGATAGAAGTGTTCTTCTTGCTCGTTTATCTACGCCTAATAGTGCACAAAATGAAACTTGCCCTCCTCCAAACATAATTCGGCGTGATCATGGGCCCATACGCTCTAACATATGGTATAATCGTTTTGCCGCTACCACTACTACTACTACCACTCAGTTTACTACAGAACAATATCAAGAAACTCTCCTTTCTTCCCCATATATTGTCATGATGTTCCGGAAAACCTCACAGTACTCCACATAGGTTGGGTTATGGCCCGTATACAACCACCACCCACCTGTGCACCACCACTCTATATAGGTTATATGACTAAAGATTTGTACTAATAGGTTTCCCAGGAAAAAAGAATGAACGACAGTGCTCAAGCACAAATGGATAAATAAACATTATACAATATAACGATATTGGGAAGAAATCTGAATAGACTATCTCTATAAAACAAGTTTGTTTATGAAAAGCACACCTCCATGGCTGTGACAAAAAAAAGAGCAATAAGCCATAACCCAAGAAAAATAAGAGAAAAGAAAATAAGGGCGATCAAGATATCCACAAAACACTTCACCTTTCAGGTTCAACCGGCAAAGTTGTCAGAATTCAGAAATGTGGGTGACAACCAGTCCCGAGGTTTACCCCTTTGTGCTCACCTTGTATGGCCACCACTAGGCTGAGGATCATAATTTTAAAATTTGCATCACATGATCTCTTCAACTGCCCACAGATGATTGCGAATTTGTGTTGGTAGCAATGGCAACAGAAGAGGCGAACCTAGAGACAAGCACAGCCTCATTGCTAACAGCTTTAGAGGCTGCCACTTCTTCCAAACGCCTCCAGGTTGATTCCCGCTTCTCCTGGATCTCCTTCTCCTTGATTTGATCTTCTTGAAATCTCACTAGACACTCGTCAAAAAGTGTTTGATCAGCATCTGAAAATGTCTTCCTCACATTCAACGTCAGACTCTGCACGGCTTGGTTCCAGTGACTCTGGGTGTTTTCCTCCAAGGCTGGGAAAATTATGGGCAGGATCACCTTACGGTTCTGAGTGATCAGATTCCTTATATGATCGTTGTTCCACAGGAACAAAGCACGTTCTGCTACCTGCCAGAAAGAAACATTCGTCAATCGTCATGGAAATATAAACCTGAAGTGGGAGCTACAGGTGCAGGGGTAAAAGGTTGAGCCAACCTCCTCATGGTTGTGGGTACGAATCTAAGAGTAACCACTTTGTACAGAATAAGAACAAAGGACACGTTTGTACTCCATCCACCCAGCCTAGCACCCTCAATTAATGGACCAAGTGTGTGTGAGAGAGAAAGAGAGAGAGTCCGAATTAATAAATCAACAACCACCTCCACAACATCCAAGAAAACGTTAATAGGTAGCGAGAACAGGAAAAACCTATAGCATTTGCATATATTTGTCTTCCTTATTCAAACAAGCAAAAATTAGGAGACACCGTGTTACCAGGGACACTCAAAGCAAACACATATCAAAGGCCTTTTGAAGTATGAACACCTCTCCTAGGCCTGTGCATTACTGTCAAACATGTCTGGGTCAGACAAGCTAGGACACATGTCCAAAACATGAAAAGGTTTCCAAAATAGTTTTCTGATCAGGACACATTTTTTTTTGGGGGGCGGGGGGAGGGGACCGGGGGGTGCACAAAGATTAGGGATCATTAAACATTAGGAGAAAAAAACTACCACATTAAAAAAAAAAATTGGAAGAGGCAAAGAGAAGGAGCAAACTAAAAATGTTATCTCCCACAAACATGATGTCTAATAACATTTGTCACCTTCTAGCAACCTCAAGAGATTGCCAATGATATATCCATCATGCCAAAAATATATATTCCTTTTCCTTAAAATCTTTCTCTTTCAAAGTTGATTTTATGATTTTGTTGTGTTGATCTCGTAATAATAGTGTGAAGTTCAGTAGTGTTTGAAACTTTGAATAATAGATCAATGTTGTACTTGACTATATTTGTGAGATATTATATGTATACCCTTGCAGTCTCCATATCTTTCTTTTGGAAAAATTCTGTCAGCAATATCTATGCCGAGTCATGTTCGTGTCTCATATTTTTATCTATGCTTCTTAGCCAAGGCATGATGTCATCACCAAAATTGCTTCTTTTATGAAAGCCTTGCAGGAGACTAATCAATTGGTCTAACAAGGATTTCAAAATCCAACCCAAATGAATACACAAAAAAGAAATGAAAAAAAAAAGGTATGCTTCGCAAGACTAAGAAATTGTTTTGTTCTTTATCACTTTCCAAAAGTTGAAACAACCATTATAAAATAATTTGCAGCACATCTTCACTACACATATGTACCAACAACTATGTCCTAAGTTCATTTAGGTCATGTTATCTCGCTAAGAACCCTAAGTGAGCACAATACATTATATAGCAAAATAAATATTCTATGACTCTGCCTAATGGAAAGTGTTGAACCAAAAACCAAGTATCATGGCATCCAATACAAAAAAAAAACATATATATTATGATGTGCATGTATCCATTTCACAAATATAGAGATGTCCAGCCAACAAGACTCCATCCATGATCAAGCATGTAAACTCAAATAACAGGCAAACTATAGTCTGCTTGGGGTAGAGTCTTACATGCAAATTATCTCAATTAGATGGCATAATGAGAAAAATGGCAAATGAATGTAGGTTTTTGCCTAACTGCGGTCATTGGTCATGTGATGGTAAAATGCTTGGACTAATAACCCAAAGGTTGGGTTCAAATCCTTTGATAACAACTATAAGCATGTTAAGCCAAAATAATGCCTGCTAAACTCCTTCAGCGCCTCAATCAATGGGATCAAACTGAATAATGTCCTCTTAATGAAGGTTTTTATCTTAGTTTGTCGTCGAACAAATATTGTATGAGCTTCTAAAAACATATAGCATGCTCATTTCAATCAATCCACAGACTACAAGAAGACAGGGGGAGTTAGAGAAGGGTTGCACTTCCTGAAAAAACATTACTTCTCCAACTGAACTGTCCAAATTGCTAAAGTACTACACATATGTACTCACGAAGTTCTTGAAAGGAATTTCTACAAAAAAGAAGGAGAAAGCATTATCCCATAATGCATTTGATCTAAAACGAAAACATTGCAACACAATGAAAGATGGGCAGTCACAAAACAGTGAGTTCATCACAGTTTCTTTGTAGCATCTCTGTGATGGGTCAATCCCAAGATAAAGGGGCACCTTTTGTCTGGTTTGTGATTGGATGTAAAGAAAATGGGGGCTAACTATGATAATATAAGGGATGGTGAGATATAAAGAAAAATAAACCACATGTCCACCTATACATAGAAATTTTTTTTG